GAGAGGTGGGAGGGAAAGGGAGAGAGAAGGGAAATTGCATGGAAATGGAAGGAGACCCTCAGGATTATACAAAAGTACATACAAGAGGAAGTGAGGGGAAAGGGAAAAATAATACAAGGGGGAGATATGAAGGACAGTAGAGGGGGTAGAGAGAGAAGAGGGGAGGGGAGGGGAGGGGAGGGGGGATAGTAGAGGATAGGAAAGGCAGCAGAATACAACAGACACTAGTATGGCAATATGTAAATCAATGGATGTGTAACTGATATGATTCTGCAATCTGTATATGGGGTAAAAATGGGAGTTCATAACCCACTTGAATCAAAGTGTGAAATATGATATATCAAGAACTATGTAATGTTTTGAATAACCAACAATAAAAAATTAAAAAAAAAAGAAAAATAGACTACTGAAGAGGAGTAAATGGGGGAAAACCAGAATTCAGTAGATAAAACTCATAGTAAAGCAAAAGTCAGTTCAAAGACACAATAATAAAAGGTGGAGAGAACTGAAATGGTCACCACCTTCCCTGATGTGCCTATGATCATTCCCTCCAGAGCACCTGCTATGCAAAACCCTTATCTGTGGTTTTGCTTTGGTTTAAGTTACTCACAGTCAGCCGCTGTCTGAAAATATTAAATGCAAATTCCAGAAGTTAATAGCTCATAGTTTTTAAATTGTATTGTCTGGAGTAGTATGATGAAATCTCATGCCATCTGGTACCCTGCCCTGCCAGAGACATGAATTATCCCTCTGTCCAGGATATCCATGTTGTGTATACTACTGCTTGTTAGTCATTTAGTAACCTTCTAACCAACTGTTAAGACACTGATATCACATAGTACTGGTGTTCAAGTAACTCTTATTTTACTTAATAATGAGGCCAAAGCATAGGAGTAGAGATAGTGGTAATTTAATTTTAGTTGTAACTGTTCTATTTTATTATTAGTTCTTGTTGTTACTCTCTTACTATGTTTAATATAAATAAAACTTCATCATAGGTATGTATGTATATGAAAAAGTATAGCACATGTAGGGTTCAGTACTACCTGTGGTTTCAGCCATCTCCTTAGGGTGAGGGAAAGTATCTCCCATGGAGTAGGGAGACCACTATACAGTAAACAGTAAATACATTCTTGAATATAAAAGCATTTTTAGATATGACTGAAATAACCTGTTCTCAAATTAAAATTAGATTCAGTTTCCTCTTCACTTAGAAAGACAAAGGATATCTTAAGACTTACAGAGACTGGCCCATACCTAATGTGGATAATGAAAGAGAACTGCTATAAACATATCTGTCAAGGAGGTGCTACAATATCAATATATAGTCTTTGTCTATCTTACCAGCTGATGGAATTACCACTGGGGATGGGTTTTGATGAAAACCATGCACTATGTTGGATGTAGGCAAGGCCCCCAGCCTTCTCATCATATTTCTTGCTCTTTACTGACACTAGTATAGCAATATGTGACTTCTATCTTTATCACACACATCACAGATAGCAAACATCAAGCCATGTCTGGCCCTAAATATTAATTGGTGTTTACATTTTGGTTACATTTTTCTAGGTACATAAAGAGGAATGAATTTCAATGATATCAGCAGAGATTTAGTTTAATAATAGAAAGGCTTCTTAATCATGCTGTTGTTACTGACATAGGGATGAGAAATTAAAGAACCTTATAAAATCTTTAAGAAGATGGGGGGAAATCAATATATATTTGGAATCATCTTAGCTCTAACCCTGACTAGAGACACAAATAGAGATAATAATAATTGAACTTTCCTTTCTAACCTAAAATTAAATATTACTGGATGATTTCATATATATGTGTGCATATACATATGTAGATATATGTGTGTATACATACATATGTGTGTATACATATAAATAACACTGACATATCATCACTCTTTTTTGGGGGGAGGTGGTTTACTGGGGATTGAACTCACGACACTCAACCACTGAGCCACATCCTCAGCCCTACTTTGTATTTTATTTAGAGATAGGGTCTCACTGAGTTGCTTAGCACCTTGCTGTTGCCAAAGCTGGCTTTGAACTCTCGATCCTCCTGCCTCAGGCTCCTGAGCCACTGGGATTACAGGCGTGTGCCACTGGGCCTGGCCATATCCTCACTCTTAAGAAACAGTACATTCATATATATGTACGCACATAGACAAACACAGACACACACAGTTAAAGAACAGACAATGCTAATTTATAGAGACAGAAATTAGAAAGAATGGTTGCTTCTCAGGACAGGGAATTGATTAGAAAGTGGCACGAGGAAACTTTGTTTTTAAATATCTTTTTTTTTCTTGGTGTATTACAGCTGTACATAAAGGGAGGGGGGGATTTGTTGTTACATATTAGTACATGCACAAAGTATAACAATATGATTTGACCAATATCCCTCCCCAGCGCTTTTCCTCTTCCTCCCCTCCTCCCAGCTCCTGGTGCCTTTCTCTGCTCTACTGATCTCCTTTTGCTTTTCATGTGGATCACCCCCCACCTTTCTTTTCCTTTTTCCTCTCTAGCTTCCATAGATGAGAGAAAACATATGACACTCGACCTTCTGACTTTGGCTTATTTCACTTAACATAATGATAAGAGGAAACTTTTTAAGGTAAGGGAAAAGTTTTATGTCTTGATTTGGATTGTGGTTTATACTGGTATATGCAAGTGTCAAAACTCACCAAATGACACATTTAAAATTTATGTATTTTATTGATTGTAAATTTATATATCAGTTAAAAAAATAAGATGTCATGAGCTAACTATGGGGCTACCTCAGTGGTAGATGTGTTGCTTAGCACTTGCAAGGCCCTGGGTTCAAATCTCAACACCACAAAAAAGAAAAAAAGAAAAAGATGTCAGAGTTTTGGGAAGAGTGAATTTAAAAAATAATAGATACCATCACTCTCAAGGAGAAGGTTGGGGAGAGTAGGGAGCTTGCGTGACTTCAATAGCAGATACAGTTTTACTAAATCAAAATCAAGAAAGAAAAGAACTGCCCTGGCTTTTCAGCAAAATTCATGCTTAATAGCTAACCGGGCCATTTCCACAGAATGTCCTCTCATTTATTGCTGCAGAGCTGAGTCTACGATACTGCCTGATGGATGGACATGAAGGTAGGGCAGAGAGTGGTCTAAGATTCATAACATACTGGTGACTGTCTTGAACTAGAATTGCAGCAATTTACACTGGGTCATCATTAGGTGTGTTGTTCTGCAGCCCATATGGATAATGGTTTCAAACCTGCTAGCATTAGAAGCAAGCGCTCCGAAGAGAAAACCAGATAAACAGTTTAATTGAAATAAACTAGAGTTGAAGACTTTTCAAAAAAGGAAGCCTCTCCCTTTACCAACTCATCACCAGTCTTTCCTTCTGCAGAACTGTGGGTGGGACTAGAGAATAGTACCTGGAATGTGCTTGTACCAACCTTACCTTACCTGCGTACAAAGTTACCAATCTAGAGGTAATAGGCTGTTTGTTCTTCTCTTAAGATTCACACTGAAGTCTGCTTGACACATGGTAAACACTAGTAGATGTCTTAAGCAATTGGAAGAGTGGAATATTTTTCAGCCTGACAAATGACTTTCACAGCAAACCTCAATAGTCTCTGCTTTTCGTCACAAACCAAAAAGTTTTTTCTATTATTTTAAGTGAATGGTCCTAAGATGAAATTCCGTGAGAACCACTGCATTAAAATCATTATAGTTTTCATTCCTTGGTACTCGAGGTTAGGACTTTCCAGGGCTGAGAAATTTTGAAAAGTAGAGACAAAGATTTTCACTGACAAAAGACATTCTATGACATCAAAACCTTCCTTGTTGTAATCCATTAATTTAAACGGCCTGTACAATCCTCTAGGGATTATGATGCATTTCAGTGCTCTGTAATCTATTACTCAAATTCTCTGCTTAAGCATAATTCCCCAAAGGAACTTCTCTATATTCATTCTCTCTATATGCAAAATCCTATTCAAGATTTTTAAAGAATCTATGAGTTGCTGTTGTTTGCATGCATGCAAACACACACACACACACACACACACACACACACACACACTTGCCTTAAGGGAATAGCTATGTGCTATTTCCACATAACATAGCTCATCTTTGTGAAGTAGCCTCAACTTCAACCCAGAGTAGGCAATTCTCACTGGTGTTACTGTAAGTCATTACAGATACTGCTTTTTGAAAGTCTACTATTGATTATTTTGGATCTTGGCTAAAATGTAGGTGAGTTGATGACAATGTCTTATTCATCTCTCTTCTGTTAAAAATGAATTAATTGTTAATTATTAAGGGTTGATAAGTGTATTCTGAGAATACAAGTCCAATAAATTGTGAAGTATTAAAAAGGCCATTATTTTATGTAATTTCTCACAGGAAAGCACATGTATTTCAATTAATTTAGTCAAAACCAAATTCCTTCCTTCCTGTGAAACTGTAAAAAGAAGAAAACCCCCAGTATTCTATGGCACTGGAGTGGCTCACAAGAACCTGGATTATTTTTAAGAATGCTGGGTATAGGCCTGCAGATGGAGGCTAGGCTTTATGAGGTCAGGGCTATAGAAGAGGTGAGGTGCTTAACCTTATTTCACAGTCAAATATAAATGACTTTTAGACTATCTGATGTTTTACATACTTCACACTTATGTTCCTCTTTATCAATGTAGATCCATAAAAATACCACTTTTTATTTTTCTTCCAAAGATTTCAAAGTACTTTACTCATTCCAAAAACATTCAAGAGAAAAAGATGGAGCCTGTAATGGTGTTAGAGATTAGCAGCTAGCACACAGAAGCTGGAAATTGTTACACCACAGGAGGAAGTACCACCATCTAACACCTGCCATGCCTCTCAGAGGAATGTCTATCTTCAAACTCCTCCTCAGCTCCAATTTGCATAGGTCCTGCTCTTCTATTAAAATCGTATGCATCAAAGCAAGATTGAGCCCTAAAGAGATATGCCTCACTGGCTTGTCACTTACCCGTGTTTCCTTGACCTCTTCAGAGACATCAGTTTCATCCTCCTGAAAAGGAAGGAGGAAGACAAACAAGAGAATCATCATCATGGATATGTTTTAAAGCAACAAGGTCAGTTCCTATCAATTATACATCTTGGCATTTCAAACATGGGCAATGAGATTTGACAGCCAGGTGATACTCTGTGATGCTACTTCTAACAGCTTTCACAAGTAGGCAATTTAGAAATATCACCTATGGTTTTAAAAAAAAAGTCAAATCAACCACAGTTGGGAAAAAAAGGTATCATCTCTGCCCAAAGTTATCAGTCTATGGGCTGGGGGTGTAGCTCACTGGTAGAAAGTTTGCCTGGCATGCCCAATGCCCTGGGTTAGATCCTCACCATAGGAATTAAAAAAAAAAAAAAAAAAAAGTATTAGTCTATTCGGCTCTATAACAAGGAAATATTCTTATCTAAAAGGTAGTTTCTAATAGATACGTATTGCTGTTTCATTTCTTGTCCCATTGAATAGTTTTATCTAATTTTCAAATGAGTCATTAGTAACCAGGGGCTTTTGTTTCGAATTATTGGCTGCTTGGTTTTTTAGATTCCAATAGCAAGGTTGAGTGAAAAAGGTAAACATGACATGGAGGGGGACGCATGTCTCTATTGGTAAGCACTGGTACATCTCTCTTTATTTAAAAGTCAGTGTTAATCTGTTTTCTATTTATCCTTTTTTCCTCCAGAAGAATAAAATTGAATCAAATGAACTTCCGCTAACTTACAGATTTTAAGTTCTTTAAATTTCTTATAGCTCTCCTAAAACATTTAGTTAAAAATTTCTGCTTTTTTGTGGTATTGATATTGGTGACTCTATGAATTTCAAGGAATATTCAGGAAGAGAGCTAAAACCTGGCAAATTTATTTACTTGTTAGATTTGTTTATATTGGTTCTATTATATTGTAAATTTCAAGTTCTTAAAATTCTTCATCAATTAATACTGAGTGCCACCATATGATTAGTACTATTCTTGGTACTGGGAATCCAGCAGGAACATACTAAATGAGCCCCACACTAGCTAAATTTTGTTTTGCTTTTCTTCAGTAATAGTTCTTGTCAATCTGCAAGATTCATGGTACCACATGGGACTCTTTCTTTTGAACTCAACAGAAAGACTGGCAGCCAAGCATAATGTGCTATGGCCCAGTATGGACTAATCTACTTACATCTTTTGTCCAGAAGTTGATGCCCGTGCCTCTTCGTCGTTCCTTGGGCCGCCTCCTCTCTCGAATGGAGAGCCTGTTAGAGGACTGATCATCCAAATCCACTTCTTCACTCTCTAACCAGAGATAAAGTAAAGCATGACTCTTAAGAATCTGTAGCAATGTGCACGAGAGAGTGGCTTCCACCTTTTAAAACTCTACATACCATTTTTGTCCATTTCCTTTGCAGCTGTAGTATTCACAGTGATCTCTGAACTCTCAGAATCAGGGATGGAACATCTACTTGTTCGTAGCAGATGAGAACTGGTGAAGAGTGAAGGTCTTGATGTAGAAGGAGACACTGGTTTTGTGGGTTTGTCTGGCTGAGCTGGACACCTCAGACGACGATAGACAGTCTAGAAATAATTCACAGAATGAGCCATGAGAGGTCAAGTCCAGCCAAAGGATAAAGACAGCAGGTTTATTCAAGATGAGCTTTTTCATTAAGAGTCTTATTTTAATAGCTGATGCTCAATCAACAATCACTGAGCTGAACTGAAGTTAGTTAATTAGTCAGAAAACTACAGCTTCTGGATGCTTCTTTGAAAAGACCATCATGTTGCTAGCAGTATAGGCAAACTGTTCCTAAAATGACTAAAGGGCACTAGACAGTGCTGTGTTAATGAAAATTCTTTTGATCTTGGAGTGAAATAGGAAGCATGATGAGCTTTCTCAAAGAGTGTTGAAAGGCAAAGTTTACAAAGGAAAATAAAAAAGCTCAAGACAAAGGAGCAGAATGTAGGAAGCATCTGAAAACAGAGAATAAATCTGAGCATTCTACCAATTTCTGAATACTCATTAATTTGCCATAATGATGTTTATTGAAACCTATTAATTTTTTTTAATGGTTCTGGGGATAGAAGTCAGGCCTCAGACATGCTAGCTAGGCAAGCACTCTACCACTGAGTCCAGTCCCCTAAGCTTTTCATAAATTCCCATTTTCCCCTTTGAAATACTTTTTTCTAAGAGTTAAGACAGAACTTGACAATGAGTCTTAAGTTGGCTTATCGAAGATGCATAAATTCTTACAGCATACTGAGTTTACAGTATACAGATTTTGTACCATTTTTAATTTAGAAATTATAAAACAACCCTGGTGTTTGATAATTTAGTTATAAAATTATAATTAAAAACACCTGTAATCCTAGCTACTCAGGAGGCTGAAGCAGGAAGATCCCAAGGTCAAGGGCAGACTGAGCAACTTAATAAGACACTATCTGAAAACAAGAGGCTGAGGACATAGCTCAGTGGTACATTTCTTGCCAAGCATGTACAACAAGGCCCTGGGTTCCATCCTTAGGTCAAAAAAAGAAAATAGAGAACAACAACAAAAAAATTATAAAGACAGAAGTAATAAAATAAAGTAAGCTTTGGAGTCAGATGCAATTTGGCTCAAAGTCTAACTTTAGTATTTATTAGCTGTTTGGCCCTGAATAAGTTATTTAACCTCTCTGAGCGTTAGCTTCCTTATCTGTAATACAGGGATAACACCTCAGACAGGATGGTGAACATTCAATAAGACAGTATGTGTTAGGTGCTTAGAATAATATCTGGTAATAAGTATTTAATAAATATAGTAGCTTATAAAATAAAATACACAACAGAACACCAGTTTATATGGATTCTAGCCATTCAGAGTTAGAACATGAAAGAGATGATTCCTTTCTCCTACAACTAAACTGACCATAAAATTTATCAATTACAATTTTAAGAGTGAAAGAAGTGGTAATAATAATTGCACAGAGACAACAGTTATAACTAGAACCATCATAGGTAAACCAGGAGTATGCTTATCCCTAAGTATACTCTTGTACCTGTGACTACCAACTCCACCAGAGAAATGAAACATAAATCAAAATGTCCACCCCAACATAAATAAAAATGTACACCCAGGAGTGTTCTGTAAGCCTTTACATTTGTAGCAGTTTGGGGAACACATTAGTGGTTAAGAGACCAAGCCGTGGAGTCAGACTGCCTGTGTTCAAATCTTGCTTATCCACTCCTCAGCCGCCATGAAATGTTAGCTACGTTACCCAACCTCTGTGACTCGATTTCCTCATAGATAAAATAGGAATAGCAATATCTACCTCAGAGGATTGTTTTGAGGATTAAAAACACATGAAATGCTTAAAGTAGTGCCTGGCAAAAATACTTAATAAATGTTTATATTCTTATTTGCATTTTATTATACTGTGGCCTCTCTTTTTGGAATAGGTGAGTATTTATTTAAAAGCATTAGTTAACTCCCAGGAGAAAAAAAATGGTCATTTAAGGAATGACATCCTTTGAATTCTTTCAGTCACATAGGTTTGCCAACTAAAGACAGTCATCAAGTCCTCTATTCCTGAGTGGTCCACTGCAAGGTAGAAGAGCATTTGAATGATTAATAAAGAACAGATTTGCAGAAATCAATTATCCTGCTTTTGTCACAGTACTTGCCAGCAAAATGAGCTCACCTCTTCATCCAGACTCCTGCCCCAGGGTTGCTGGTCTTCCCCAGCTTCCTTTGCTGGGACAGCTGAGGGCTCTTGCTTCTCAGTGCTCCCCTCCAGTCCTTCAGTGTCTGCAGGTTTTTCACTAGCCTGTCTCTCTGCCCTGGACCGGCTGAAAGTCCTTTCTGCTTCTTGAAGGTCTGTTAGAGTAACACCCTGGGAAAATAGCACAAGATCACGGCAGTTTCACCCTAACATGGAATACCTCTTGAGTAAGCAGGGAAACTCTCAAAAAGATCTAACGGTTTTCAAATCCCAGACGAAGATCCCAAAATGCATAATGAGGCCATTTCAAGCAATATATGCTTAAAATAAGCATCTCTGTGTGCAAAGAACCCAGGCCTGAATCTAGGTACATTTCAAACGTAATACTTTAGCTTTCCCAATTTGATCCCCAGAAAATAGGTCAACACTGATGTCTGCCTGTTATAGATATATTTCTTCCATACCAAATAGTTCTTGGCATTTTTATGTGAATATTCTCTATTCTCCCAAGATCAAACTGTTAACAAAAGAGATGTTCTGAACAGCAGATGCTGGAAAAACTTAATTTTACTCATAGAAAGAAAAGCCATATCCAAAAAGATGAAAATTCAGAGTAAAGCTAGAACAACAAAAAGAACTCCCAAAAGAAAAAGTAAGCTATTTCTTTAATATTATTTCCAAGTAACTCTAGGAATCATCCAGCGAGGTTCTTCCGACAATTAATGTTTGCCTCTGGGTCACAAAAGCAGCAAGGCAGAAGAAAAGCAAATGATGAGTCACTTGCAGCTGGGACAAAGGAGTTAGGAAGAGAATGTGATGAGTCTAACTGAAGGGGTTACATGCTCAAGTAATCAGAGGAAAAGGGATGTCCCAGAGCTGGAAGGTAGTTGATGGACACCAAATCCATAACTTGCTTTTTTTTTCACTTATTCACTCATTCTCTTAATAATTGTCTTTAAGCCCTAGAACTATGAAGACAACACCAATTATTTCTGTCAAGAAACTTTTAATCAAACAAAAATGATATAAGAAAATAAATATTAAGAAACACACACACACACACACACACACACACACAGAAAGAAACACAGTAATACATAACAAGCACACCTAACACTGATTTTGAAAGGTGGGGGGTTAAAAAAGACCATGGGTAGAGGGGAGGCTATGTAGAAATACTGAAACAAAGAGAAGCCATGGATCAGTCAGGGTCTGTAGTTAATTAAGCAAAAGACCTTCAAAATTTACTTTCTGAAGTAAATTTTGGAAGCTTGTAACCTGAAATAGGAATGCAAAATGAAAAATAGCATGGTGATTCCTCAAAAAATGAAAAATAGGCTGGACATGGGTGGAGCATGTCTATAATTTCAGGGACTCTGGGGGCTGAGCAGGATCCTAAAGTTGAGGCCAGTCTCACCAACTTAGTGAGATTCTGTCTTAAAATGCAGAAGAGTAAGGGCTGGCAATGTAGCTCAGTAGTAGAGTACCCTGGGGTTTAATCCCTAGCGTGTACCCCCCCACACACACAAATTAAAATTAAAAGTAGAATGAGCATGTGATTTGGTAAGTTCCATTTCTAAGGATATACACATTAAAGAACTGACAGTAGGGTCTCAAAGTAAAATTTTGTACAGCCATTCTCAGCAGTATTATTCACAACAGCCAAGTATCCATCAACGGATGCATGGATACATAAAATATGGCATATACATGCAATGGAATATTATTTAACCTTAAGAAGGAAGACAATTTTGACATATGCTACAATATAGATAAACCTTGATGACACTATGCTAAATGAAATAAGCCAGACACAAAAAGACAAATAGTTGCATGATTCCACTCATATAAGGTTCCTAAATTGGACAGAAAGAAGAATGCTGCCTGCCAGGGGGGAAGGGAAATACTGTTTAATGGTTATAGAGTATCAGTCTGGAAAGTCAAAGTTCTAGAAATGGATAATGGTAATAGCTATAAAACAACATGAATGCACTTCATATCAATGAACTGTACACTTAAAAATGGAAAAAGTGGTAAATTTTATGTTATGTATAATTATTGCAGTAAAACAAAACCAAAAAAATATATAGTCCACCTTGGTTCTCAAGGAGGATACATTCTAATAGGCAAAACAGAAATAATCATCAAGCAAAAATAAAAAAGGAAAACCTGACTCACTTTCTGAGGGTCAGAGAAGATAGAAGGATTTTTTTTGCTGCTATGAATAATGTCCCTTTTTTAGTCATCAACTTTACTACTTGACTTCTGCAGCATTTAAAAATGTTCAACTTCTCTTTTTTTGTGCAAACTGATTTTTCATTCATTTCCATGCCACCACTATTTTCTACTTCCCTTTTTACTTCTCTGGATGCTCCCTTTCATTCTGCTTCATGGGCTAATCTTTCTTTCCTCCTTAACTAACTCTGATTCATAGCTTCTTCCTCCATTCTCACTGCCATCACAACCTGAGTTCATGGCCTTGTCATTTTCAGCTTGGATTACTATTAACAGCTTCCTAGCAAATCTTCTAGTTTCCAGGCTTGGCAAACAAACACTGCCTACCACTTCCATTAATTCTCTGCATGGGGATTTTTGTGAAACATAAAGTAGACTCTATCACTCATCCTTAAACTGTTTCAATGGCTCCCTTAAGGGATTTCCCCACCCTTCTTTGTAACGTCTTTACTGAAATATAATTCACATATTGTAAAATTCACCCTTTAAATAATCCCATGATTTTTAGTTTATTCATTGAATTGTGCAACTATCACCACTATCTAATTTCAGAACACTTTTCAACAGTCCAAAAAGAAACCCCACACCTATTAACAGTCATTTTCCATTCCTCTTCCCTCTAGCCCCTAGCATTCATCCACTTTCTGTCTCTCTGGATTTGCCCATTTTGGATACATCATATAAATGAAATTATACAACATATGGCACTTTTTGAGTCTGGCCACTTGAGCTTAATTAGCATAACGTTTTCTCAAAGTTTATTCATGTTGTAGTATGTAACAACAGTACTGCATTACTTTTTAATACCAAATAATATTCCATTGTATGAACATAGAACATTTTGTTTGTTCATTCATTAGCTAATGGACATTTGGTTTGTTTCTACCTTTTGCCTATTATGAATAATGCTGTTATAAACACTTACATATAAGTTTTTATATGGACATTTTTATTTCTTTTACATATGTATGTTAAGAGTAGAACTGCTGGGTTGAGTAAACTCTATATTTAACATTTTGAGGAAGTGCTAACTATTTTCCCCTAGGGATTCCTAATGTGATTCTTTTTAAATATAATTATTAATACATATTTATGGGTTTCACTGTGACATTTCCATATACACATATATCTACTCCATGCTTTGTTTATGTCCAACAGCCCTCAACCCTCCCTTCTACAGGGCACAGGGTTCTTAAGACCCCCAAGCACTAGTGGAATGATGAGTCTTGCTCTGAGCCTGGAGGCACAGAGGTATGAGTGAGAGGTACAATGGAGAGTGGGTAGATGGAACTATAAATTCAATTGATTCTCTGTAGTGTAAGATTTAACAGAGTTTTTAATACAGTGGCTGGGATAAAGCATTCAGTTTAGTAGTTTTAAAATGTACCTGCAATGGAAAAATAGATAGATGAAAGGATATTTAAAAAAAAAAAAAATCACACTCACTTGAGTAGATCTTCGTGTTTGCCGAGCTTGTCTGGAACGTGCTTTCCGTAAAGACTCTGCTTCCTCATCCCGTACAGGAGTCAGATAGGACCTACAGAGAAGTAGGATCTTTGCTGCATGACTTGGGGAATGACAAGGTGCTTCCACACACTGAAGGGATTCCTATGCGCTAAGGATGAATTAAGGCAAAGTCCAAATGGCAGAAATGCTATTCGCCATCAGTAAAAATCACTGAATTGAAGACATAATTTGTGAATGTGTTATGTTCAGGTAGAACTGTACCACCTGTAAAAAAAGATTCTATTTCTTCTTTCCTTAATCCTTTCCTATAAGCCTTCAGAGAGAATATTTTCAGTATTTTGCCAATGAATGTGATGTTTGTTGTAAGATTTCTTTAGATACTACTTACTGAATCAGAGTAATTCCTTTCTATTTCTATAGGAAGCAGGCTAAGAATTTTTTTTTTTTTAATCACTAGGTGGACTAAACTTTATTGAATGCTTTTCTCTCCTATATATTTATATGTTGTTTCTTTCTTTCTTTCTTTTTTTTTTGGTGCTGGGGACTAAACTCAGCTCATATGTGCTAGACAAGCATTCTACCACTGAGTTACAACCACGGTCCTTTGTATTTTCTTTTGAGACAGAGTCTCACTAAGTTGCCCAAGCTGGCCTTGAACTTGTGATCCACTTGCCTCAGCCTTTGTTTTACATTTTTATAATTTTCCTTTATTGACTTCATAGAAGACAGCCAGACTCTCATAGCTGCTTTTGCAGTCAATATATTTTAGTTGAAATATATTAAGACTAACTAGCCTTTCACAGATATACAGTTGCAAAAATGAGGAGTATTGTGATTATTTTTTCAGATAACTGTGGATATTGTTTGATACTATACCAATGTGGAATCTGAAATGTATTAAGAGACTTTTCATATTCTGTTACATTAAGATGCATTGGTCTGGGCTGGAGCTGTGGTAGAGCACTCCCCTAGTACTCCTGAGGCACTGGGTTCAACCGCCAGCACCATGTAAAAAAAGCTAAATATACAAAATAAAGGTATTGTGTCTATCTACAATTTAAAAAATATTTTTAAAAAAGATGCATTGGTCTACCTTGCACTTTGGATCTTCTTATCTATACATGATTTTGTAACATTATATCTCCATTAGTCATTTGCAAAATATCAGTGTACCTAGTTATGCATATCTTCCTAATACTGACACATTTATTTATACAATTAAAAAAAGACATTCCTTAATATCACCTTTGACCTTAGAACAATCTACATAATAGGAAGATGTCAGTATTACAGTGACATATACAAGTTTTCTAAAATTCTAATTTTTGCTTAAAAGTTTAAATTTTATGATTAGCAACAAATACTTAACAGGCTCACTTGGTTCATTTTCAAGAAAATGTCTCCATAACCATAGTGTCATCATTAGTCATTATAAAATGGTGTTCCATGAAAAAAGTTAGTTCTCTTCTTCTGAGACTATAATCTTATGTTAGGCCTGACTGGCCACATTTCATGTGTTTATTATCTTTTTCTGTATATCTTTTTATTTCTGTAAATTTCATTCTGGATATTTGCTACTGTCCCATCTAATCCTCTCTTTGGCAGGTTTGATGCAAACTAACCAATTGAATTTTCTAATTTCAGTTATTTTTCAGTTTAGAATTTCCACTTGATTCTTTTAATAGATTGCAATCCTCTGGTGAAATCCTCCATCTTATTTTTTTTGAATATATTAATCATAATTATTTTAAAGTCCATGTCTGATAATATCACTATCTGATCTGGTCCTATTATCTATTTTTTCTTTTGATCTTTTGGTAAATCGGTTTTATTTCCTGGTATAGCTAGTAACTTTTGAATTAACTCCAGATACAATTAATGAAAAAATGTAGTTTTAACTCACAGCACTAGAAGATGTCATCCTTCAGAGCAATTAGGTAAAAGTAGTTCTCAAACTTTGACTTGCCACAGAATCACTTGGAGAGATTCCACAACCCCAGAAGTTCTGCTTTGGTAGGGTTTAGGGTGGGAATCTAAGAATTTGCATTCCTAATTATTTCTCTGCTGATGATGCTCATTTATACTCTGAGAACCACGGGGATGAGGCAAATTTCCTTAATCCACTTTGAGACTAAGCTGACTGGAAGTCAGGCTTCAGTCTTTGCAGGGGGGCTGGTGTATTTTGGAAAAGCTGGTTTTTACATTTCCAGAGGTTGCCATCTATATGCTACAAGTCCATCATAAACAAATGATATGTATCAAAGAAGAGAGTGACTAACTTCTCCTTTGAAGGATGCAGTTGATTTAGTTGAACTAAAACCAGTCAGGTTTTAGTTCAAGTTTTACTTACTGTCTCTAATTGGGAATGGGATGCTCATACTATGGAACAATAGAACAGATAACTGGATTCTACTTCAATTACAAGTTTGCCTTAAAAGACTTAATCTTTTGGGACTTTGGTTTCTTCATTTATAAAATTAAGGGGTTGGTCTATAGTTTTTAAGGTCCCATTCAGCTTTAAGCCACAGTGAATCCATATTTATGCTGATTCTGGGCAAATGTCCTTGAAAACTTCCAGTTAAAATGCTTACTAACTGGTCTGGCCAAATAAACATTTTCCCTGAGTAGGGAGGGGTGGTTGGTTCAGTTGGACACTCTCCCCCATGCCAAATCCACAAATGCTCAAGTCCTATCTATAAAATGGTGCAGCACTTGCATATAATCTACAAACATCCTTCCATATACTTTAAATCACGTGTAGATTATCTGCAATACCTAATACAACGTAAATGCTATGATAATAGTAGTTATATTGTATTGTTTAGAGAATTTTGACCTGAAAAAAGTTATGCATGTTCAGAAGAGATGCAGTTTTTTCCCCTGATTAGTTTTTGATTTGCAGTTGGTTGAATCCACCAATTCAGAACCCACTGGTACAGAGGGCCTACTATACTAAACTTCCTATATTCCATATGCCATTTCCTTTTGTACTTGCAACAGAACTTTGTGTGACAATGGAAATTTATATATCTGAACAGCCCAATATGGTAGCCAGTAGTCATGTGTGGTTTCTGAGCACTTAAAATGTGGCTATTGCAACACAGAAACTGATTTTTCATTTCATTTCAGTTAAACTTAAATAGCCACACACAACTACTGAATACCACACTGTAAAAAAAAAAAAAAATCTTGAAGTCCTGAAAAATCCAATTAAAAGATATTTATTGTCAGCCCCTTTCTTAAACCTGAAAATCAGATCCAACTCATACAACATAAACTTAACAAAATTTGTCGAGAACACAGTTTATTCACCAGCTAAGTTTAAAAGCAACTGATTTTATTTTCTTGTCGAAGTTCTCACTTTTCTTCTGTGTTTCCCAGAGGCAATATTACTGTAACCTTACATTTTTTATGTGGTACCTTTAAGTTTTATGAGGTTGTTCTGGGGCTCCCACCTTTAAGATATTTATAGATACAACAAACAGGAACAGGCTCACTGATGCAGCACACTCAGAGTTACTTTTTTGCTAATTGCAATGTTTGCACTCTGCTGTCTCCACATGCCTTATCCCATACCACCCCTCTTTCCCTCTTGCCCCTTTTGACACAGAGAGCTCAAAGAAAACAGACTGTTACCTCCTTGCGTAGGCCTGCATGGCAGAATGAAGGTCAAGAGATGAGTGGAGACGAAGAGCAAGGAAGGTAAGTGGCTGCTGGGAAAGACTGCAGTCTCAGCACCCGGTCTCCCTTGGAAACTAGAAAAGGCTTGCACTGCCACTGCTATCCAGCAACCCAGAGGCAAAGCCTGTAATTTGGTAAGAAGCTGCTACTAGAAAGGAGGAGGAGAAGGAAGGGGAGGAGAAATGGGGAGGAAGGCAAAATCTTGGGGCTCGGCAGAACCAATGCTACTAATAGTTCCCAAGATACAATTCCATTAGATGCATATTTTATACAGCGTACCAAACCAATCAATACTACTTCTCATCTGATAGACAGGGGAGGGAGAATTATTCCTCATGTAAAAGGAGGTACGCAAAAGAGCATTCTTGTTCTGGATACTATTTCATCTGCCCTTGGGCTATCCTAGTTGCTGCATTCATCCAAGTGAGCTATAAACATTGCCTCACAGGAGGCTCAGGCCTAGCCAGCTGGCAAATTTAAAGGGTGGGTGAAGAGACAGATTAAAAGGAAACACATGAGAGAAATGCAGGGACAGATTTCAGATCTGCTATAAATGGGTTAAATCTACATAGAGGGAGGCTATAAGAACTACTAAATTTGATAAGCTAGCTACAGATTTCTAGATCTAGTATATGTCACATATCAAAATGTGAACTGATTTTATGGTCTGGGATAATTGCATTCAAATGCTTGTGTGTCTTTTTGACCTATTTCAACACTGACATCAGAGATGAGGTTTAAGTGAAGAAGAGGACCAGCAGGAGGAGGAGGAGGAAACTTCCTGCAGTCAATCTCAGCATTTCTTGAATTCTGTGAATCAAGAGTTCTCAAAATGAGACAATTTTGACCTCTCTTTCCCCAAAGGTAGGGTTAGGCAGAATTATCTGTCTTGAAATGCCAATAGTACTGAGTTTGCAGGCATTGGGATCAGCACATTTTTTTTCCTGTAAAGACCCAGGTAATAAATCATTAGGTTTTGCAGACTTTCTAGTGCCAAAGCAGTCCTAGATGATACATAAATCAGTGGATGAGCTGTATACTCACTGCTTGCCATTCTACCCTGGTGGAACTAAAGCCAGATGGCTTGTAAAGCTTCAAATATTTACTATCTAGTCCTTTTCAGATCATTTTGCTGATCCTTGCTCTAGTCCCTAAGTTCTAGAGCACCAAACTATGGCTCAGAGAACTCCTTTTGGGAGTCTGGTGTTTCTGTGATGTATCTTAGATAAATACTATATCATCTTGATTCTTTTCTTTTGGAATATTGATTGGTTCCATTAGAAACATGCCAGCCTCAAGTGCCAAAGCCACTTTCACAAAAACAATCTTTTACTTATGTAGGTCACTTTACAATTAGTTCACTGGTCAGAGCAGGTGTTGCTGATGCCA